CTTGTTAACTATTTAGTCAAAGCTGCATTTTGTATAAAGTTATACAGTGAATTAATTAATGAAAATTAGTCAATTTTTGTTCGCAAAAAGAGGGTGGATGAGTCCTGGATAGGGTGAGTCTCCATTCACAACCTCCACGTAATGAAGTCTCGATCGATATTATTTGATATATAATTAGTATATAGTTAAAGTATTATTTGGTCTTTAAGTTTACAGTCAAATTATTATTTGATACTGGCTTAATAAGGGAATAGTGGAATAATAGAATACCAGTACTATAATTAGTATATAGTTAAAGTTGTATAACTAATACAATTATATAACAAGTAATACGAGCTAATTGACTGAGATCTCGATTAGGTGTTGATATGTATATCTATTAAATTAATAAAAATTAAATAATATGTGGTTTTAATACATGGATAACTGATCCGTAGTGTATGAAGAATATGTCATTCAAATTTTGTACATTATTATTACAAGAATATTTTAGAACGTCTAGGGTTAATTATTCTCCAATGACTATATCTGTAAATGAGAGGGTTGTTTTTTCTTCTTTTCTTTAATTCTTCTTATATGGAATTTTTGATAAAATTTATTTTAGCCGATAGTTCTTCAATTTTTAAAAATTCAAAATGATATGGATTTTCTTTATCTTCAGCATATCTATCAAATTATATATATCAAGGTTATAGACATTCAAAAATCATCGAAATCATTGAGAAAGTATTTACATTTAAGATCGTGTGTTAATAACTTCAGAATTTTTATTTATTATATAAAAAAAATAGTATCGTAAAACATATGTATATATATATATATATATATGACATAGAGCTCTATGTTATATATAGTAGAATAATTTCGGTTTCATATTTTGAATATATTGAAAGTATGATATTATTATAAATTTCAAATATCGTATCTGACGCATTCACTACTTTATCAATTGTGATCGTTTTACTTGTAGTTCTCCAATTCACCGTTGTTAAGCGTAAAGTGCGCTAAAAAACCACTGATTTTCTTGTATGTCGGTATTTTAGAATGTGTGACACAAAATCCCATGAGATGGAATGTCTACTTATATATCTTGTCTGTGGTTAATACTCTCGACTGCACTTTTTATAAACCATACTACTCTCTAGCCTGGTTATTTATGCAATGGTTATTTATGTAATTTATGTAATTAAAAATTTGATTTCTTTCTTATTAATTGTAATTTTTGACCATTTTAAATTTTTTTTAATTATTTTTGGTTTTTATTGATTACTTTTACAGTGTGCGTGAAACAAAATCGATTTCATTGATAGAATCTTCAGAAGCTTCAGAAACTTCATTAATAATGAAATACATATAACCAGGTTACAATGAATATTATCGTTTTTATTCATTTGTGAAGTTTCTGACTTATACTTTCGTTTTTGTATTTTTATTCGAGTAGAAATTTTTATAAATTGATTAACTTTTTAAGCAGTGATGATTCGTCGTCTGTGATTCTAGGAAGTATATTATTATCAATTGAAGATATTTCAAGAAAGCTTCATTATCTACGATTAATAATTCACTATGAATTTCTCTGATTTTATTTAGTTGTTGTAAATTAAATGCTTTAGTAATTGTACTTAATTTATTTTTTAGTTTTTATATTTATTTTACTAGAGAAATTTTGAAATTTTGAAAATTGATAAATGATCAAAGAACTTTTATCGACTAAAGGTTTCTAAGGAATTTTTTATTATGTTGATTATTTATCATGTAAGTTAATGAAAATAATTTTTATTATTGACTAATTAGGATAGGTCGGATATCACAGACAAAATGTAAAAGTAGAATTGGGCAGAATAAAGTAGAATACAGTAGAATCAAGTAGAATAATTTAAAACTTATATTACTTGCGGATTCTGACCATACGTTGATCAATACTACTTGCATTATCTGACAGTAGATTGATCTATTTTACTTGTTGACATCTATATGTTAACTGTACTATTTGCAAGTAACAAATGATTACGATGAATTCGTAAAGTATAGATATATACTTATATACATAATGTAAAATAGAATAGTTGTAAATACTAATTTCATGTTTCGCTGATACCATTGACTAACTTGCATAGACTGGACATAGACTGGACACTTGCATACACTGCTTTTTCGTGTCCCAGGTTTTTAGGGGTCACTTGACCCCCTTACCATTTTCGTGTCACATCCTGTCATATCGACTTAGGCAAGTATTGCACTATAGCGCTATTGATAGAAATTAAAATAAAAAAACATGGACAGCGTTGCCGTTTCTTCATTGAAAATTATTTCTGAAATTGAATTATTTCTTGAATTTATTTCATTGAAAATTATTTCTTCCGCTGACATTTTATTACGAGCAATATACATATGTATATGCATATAACATTCATAATAAATAAATGCGAATTTAATAACAAAACATTATTTAAGAAACTCTACCACTGTGTAATGTAATTTTTCACAAAATGTGAAATTGTGTTTTGTTGGATATCTACGACTTTTTTTCTACGGTTGAATTTTTTCTACGTGCTATTCTGAATAAAAAACAATTAGACCATAATGTTAAAAAGAAATTAATATTTCTTATAATTCTTCAAATTTTGTACAGGATGCGGTTTTTAAATGAAAATATATTTGCTGTATTTCTGTTTCAATTGCTTTCGTCACGATTGTCATCGTGCAGAATAACAAATGGAAAGCGAATTAGGGGACAGTTTAGAATTTCCTAACGGAAACATAGTTGCCAAATCTAAAAAATTGAACATGGTTGCCACATTTTGATTTTTGTTTCATCGATTGGTCCTGTCCATGAAATGATGAAATAGGTGACTGCATGATTGTTCGTTGTCTTAGAGTCAGGTATTCACTCAAGCTCGATCAAAATTATCCGATCAGATTGAACTCCGAAATATCAAATACTTTCATCCGGGTAATTTAAACAAATTTTTAGAATAATTAAAAATACAAGTCTTACCATAACTTCTTAAAAAGAATCATGTAACACTTTACTTGAATTCTTTTTAAAGTATAAAGTTTCGATCATCCTTTGTGTTTTTGA